CGGTTATATGTACGTATACACACACACACACACACACACACCACACACACACACACACACACACCATATATATATATATATATATATTATATATATATTATAGTGTGTGTGTGTGTGTGTGTTGTGTGTGTGTTGTTGTGTGTGTGTGTGTGTGTGTGTGTGTGTGTGTGGGTGTGTGCATATATATATATATATATATATATATATATATATATATATATACATACATATATATATATATATGTGTGTGTGTGTGTGTGTGTGTGGTGTTGTGTGTGTGTGTGTGTGTGTGCATATATATATATATATATATATATATATATATATATATATATGTGTGTGTGTGTGTGTGTGTGTGTGTGTGTGTGTGTGTGTGTGTGTGTGTGTGTGCGTGATGTGTGTGTGTGTGTATGTATGTATTTATGGATATGTGTCTGTATATATATATATATATATATATATATATATATATATATATATATATGTGTGTGTGTTGTGTGTGTGTTGTGTGTGTGTGTGTGTGTACATATATATTTGTGTATGGATATGTATATATATATACATATCCATACACACAATATATATATATATACATATCCATACACAAAATATATATATATATATATATATATATATGTATGTATGTATGTATGTGTATATATATATTTGTGTATGGATATGTATATATATATATATATAATATATATATATATATTATATATACATTGTATACATAAATCATGTATATATGCATACATATCTGCATGTATATGGGAGTATGTGGGGGAGGGGGGGTTGTCTGCACGCGCGTGCGTACATGCATGTGCTTATGCATGTGTATGCGCGCGCGTGCGTGTATCGCGGGAGTGTGTACGTTTGTGCGTTGGCCTTTCCGCGATTCGAAAGCGACGACGCCAATTTACGAGAGTAACAACTTAACGAGTGTACAACGTCTCTCTCGTTAAGCAATTACAGCTTTGCTCGTCCGACTAACCGAAACCTCACTCCTTAATCCTCGTCCCAGTCATGATATATAAACTCAAGAGGCATCAAACAATCATCAGTGACCTTATTTGGCCTAATTCGGCATTAAAAAGGCCCAGTTTAAAGGGACAGCGCCCGACAAAATAACAATAGAGGCCGAACGCATCCAGGCAACGAGCATTTAAACTTCCGCCGCTGTGACGTCACTCCCAAAACATCTCGCGGATTCTCGGGCTTCGCGAGATATTTACTTTGTCCGATCTTTATTCCGAGTTAGGAATCGTCTGCTTTGAACCTTTTGAGTTTATGGACTATACCTTAGATTTAAGTGTAAATGATAAGAAAAGAATAATTATTTTGAGAAGAAATGCCGAATACAGTATATTCTAAGGCCTAATAACAGTGATATTAGCAGACGTAAACACCCATTTCGGGAGCTCGGCAGCGCATCCGAACACGGGGCTCAGTGGGTGACAATGGCACAATGGCTTCCCGGAGGTCTGCCTTGGCCTCGCAAACCGAAATCTCCGGGAACGACCCTCTCCGCGAGCTGTTCGAGGCCTGCAGGAATGGAGACCTAGTGCGAGTGAAGAAGCTCGTTAATCCGCAAAATGTGAACGCCAGAGACACGGCAGGGAGGAAGTCTTCGCCCTTGCACTTCGCAGCAGGTCAGTTCTTCAGGTCCTCGGTCTCGCCTTGCCGTGCAGACCTTGGCTGTTTTACGTACTTTCACCCGCTTTGCCGTGCCCGTACGGAGGTGCCATGGCGATTTTCCGGTCGGGGAGGGCGCGAGGGTTGGTGTCATGTGAAATAATAATGGATAGAGGCGAGAATAAGGAAGAAAATGGGAGGTAAATAAAGGGGGGGGCTAGGTTGATGGCCTCTTGTTTTGGGTTACCATGTTTTGTGTCTCGTTCTTGGCACTCGCCTGTTGAGGCTGAGGAGCAGTGTAGGCCTTTGTTTACCTCTTCTCTTCTCTATCTCTGGCTGGTTAGGGCAGTTGCCTTCGTCAGCTCTATTGATGTTTTTCGTCTTTGGTATCTTCTGTATGTCTCTTCTCTTCTCTTTTTTTTTTGTTCTTTTTTTTCTTTTTTCATTTTCTTGTTGCTAGGTAATTATGTTGTTCAACTGCAGGTCTTAGTTATGAATACCTTGTCTCTCGTTTGCCCGTCTGACGTGTTTCCTTTAGTTATCCCTTCTTGTTGTTTATGTTCTCCCTTTATTATTGTTTTTTCTTTGTTGCATAATAGCTTGTTGCTTACCCCCCCTCCAGACTATACAATTTAATAATTTCACAATAAGATCAATAAGATTATTATAGTGTACTACAAACTGTATAGATCAGTACACATCCATTTTGATTATGAGATTGTATATATAACTTTAGTTATTATGTATATCTTGATACATCTTTTGGTGCTGTATATGTATGTTAGGGAATATGAGGAGAGAAAAAATATTTTCATTATAGTCATAAAATGATGGATCTTGCTTGATATAGTTACTAGAGGCTTATGCGAAAAGTAATTGGAAGATTTATCGCTGGCCCTTTGCTCGCCTTTATGGTGTCTGTTGCTATTAGTTTATGGCCTATTTTGAAATGATATCCAGTTTTGATAGGCATGTGCAATCATCAGATTAAATGAAAGATTCACTTATTATTTAGAAGGCCTGTAACTTTCAAAATTGGTCATTTTCTACTTGTCTACTTGAAATTTGCCGTGACCTGTGATGCATAGCCTACAAAGTCCAGCACAATAGTGGCACAGTTTTGGGTGATCACTACACTCTGACAACAGCCATAAATCTCCACCATTTATGTCTTCGGGAAGGAGGGTTTAGATATCTTCCTTATTCAAAGATGAAATGCCCAGAAGGTCTATAAATGGGAGGTTTGTTGATTTCTTGCCAGACGTAGAACTGATTGGTGCAAGGCCAGTGGAAGATGCATATGAGTCATTTCAACATTAACCCAGGTTTCAAAAGAAGACTTGTTATTAATGGTGCTGGCTCTGTTGACAGAGTTTCAAATTTGAATTGTCCACCTGTTATCATCCTTTTAGGGAGAATATAGTAAGCGACTTGCATCACAAAGTCTGCCAATACTTCTGTAATGCTTGGTTTTATCGTGTTTTTATTGTATGGAGAGGCATGAAGTACATTCCTTTACATTTTATTGTAAGGCTTAGTTCTTTCTTAATAAGTTCCATAGAAACAAAACAGAAGAAAAAAAATCACAGAATAGTTTTATCATATGGTTGCAATTAACTTTGAGCAACTGCCTTATATTGCAGACTTAGTAATTATTGACAGGAGTATGACGTCTCTTGATAAAATAGTTATTGACAGGAGTATGACATATCTCATGATAAAAGTTTTATACATAACTATAGTATGACCAGCTTTATCTCTGTAGATTTGTTTTCTGCTGCAAAAATTGCCAATTTCATCCAGTGTATTTTGTTTCGTTTTTGTGTATCCAGTCTATGATATCTTATCAGTAATATATCTCTAGAACTACTTCCTTCCATGTCTGTGTACCATATATGTTTAATCTTATCTTATGATATACCTAGTGGTCAAGATAAAGATTTGGCCTCTCCAGGGTGTTTAAGTATCAGTTAAGAGTGTTCTGTAGAAGTAACAAGTATCATTAAATGTATTCCACCTTGTTTTAGTGTACAAAGGTTTAGGATAGAGGACTAGCCTTCATATTAGTATTTTAGCTCAAACCCTTGGCCTTGCTATTCATTTATTTATGAAATGGTCTTTGTTAGTAGGAGAGCATTAAAAACAGTTTTGCAGAATTTAGAGTTTTGAAGTAGAGAATTCATATTTGATTAATTGTGATGAGGTAGCCTTTAGTTTTTTCGTCACACACAGACTAAACCTTCTTTAAAGTAAAGTGTTTACCATCAGTAAAGTTAGAAATACATTTTAAAGGCATAGGAAATGCACCTGTCAGCAGAGCATGGGTGCAGGTATTTTTGCATCTTTGACATTTGGGTTTGGTATGCACCTCCTTACACAGTATTTAGTATTTTTATCAATAGGTATATGACAATTTTGTAGAATTAGAGTTTCTCTTACTTTACTAGAACCCAGATTGTGAATTGCTGAAACCCTGATTTTCTGTTTCCTATGTCACCGTTGTCTATTTACATTAATCATTATTGAAATTTGAGAAAAATGATGCAATATAAGCATATAGCTTTCAGGTGGATTTACTTCTATAGTGGAAAATCATGTGCTTATATATAGATTATGATTTTATTTTTAGGGAATCCATTGTAGAAATGATTACATGATTCATATCTTCAAGTAACATCAGTTTTAAAAGACCCAAAGAATAGACAGAAGACTAATACCCCTGGCTCTCTCTTCTCTTCCAGGTTTTGGTCGGAGAGATGTGGTGGAGCATTTGCTGAATCTCGGAGCAGCTGTCGGAGCGCGTGACGATGGTGGGCTAATTCCCCTGCACAACGCTTGTTCCTTCGGCCACGCAGAGGTTGTCTCACTGCTCCTCAAGCACGGGGCTGACCCCAACGCACGCGACAACTGGAACTACACGCCCCTCCATGAAGCTGCTTCCAAGTCCAAGTTTGATGTTTGCATAGGTGGGACATTCGGTAGTTATTGTCTAAAAAAAATAAAAATAAAAATAAAAAATAAAAATAAAAAAAAAAAAATAGTATACACATTATACATGAGAGTAAGGACAGTAGTGTAGTAGAAATGAAATGTTTGGGGGGGATTGGGAAGTTTCATAGTACATATGCCAAATTTTACATGAACTGGCTTAACAGAAGTTGTCTCTCATGTTGAGAATGTAGGTAAAAGAGATTTCTTTGTGAACATGTTACTGAATTTTTGCTTTGCAGTTCTTCTTCAAAACGGAGCGGATCCAAGCATCCGCAACACAGACGGCAAGACGGCGCTGGATTTGGCAGACACCTATGCTCGCTCTGTGCTCACAGGTTAGTCAAGATGGTACAAGAAGGATTTTATAATAGTATATTTAACTTTGGTGATAGTCTCTGAATAATCTGGACCATATATAATACAGTGTGATATTATACAATTAATTTCTGAACTTGTATAGCTGTAATTCATGGTAATACAAGAAAGAAAAGCTGCTTGTTGATATTTTGATTAAAGCTTACATGTGTTATTCCTCTCCAGGGGAGTACAAAAAAGAGGAGCTACTCGAGGCTGCCAGAGCAGGCAATGAAGAGCGTTTGCTGGCCCTTCTGACTCCCCTTAACGTCAACTGCCATGCCTCAGACGGCCGTAAGTCCACCCCTTTGCATCTGGCAGCGGGCTACAATCGTACGGAGATTGTAACAATACTGCTTCAGCACGGAGCAGATGTCCACGCCAAGGACAAAGGGTGAGGTTCTGTCGGACAAAATAGAGTAAGGAGTTTCATCAAAGCCTTTTAGCTGTCTCTCTGTTTTGTTTCTTATTCTTTCTGTCTTGTAGGAGGCCATCAGACTAGTCTTGTTTTCAAGTCAGTTTTCTCTTCTTTTTTTTTTTTTCTGATGGTTTGAACATAAACCTCAGGAACTCCCAACATTTTTGGAAATATCTTAACCTATAGTTTTATATGCCTATACTATATCTTTGACTTAAAAAAAAGAAGAAGAAAATCAGAAGATAACATACTTCTGTCCCTTTCATGTCATTACCACATAAGAAGTCAGAGGTATGTTTTCCATCTCAGAAATCTGCTGATATTTGGCTAATTCCAGTCACTGCTAATTTCACTCTTATGCATCATGTCTTTCGGTAACTGGACTAGCTCACTTTAAAGTTCTAGGCTAATGAATACTGACTTGTGTTGCCTCAGGGTAGCTATTCAGAACCAGTGCCTATAGTTTAATAACCACTAAAATATTGCAGTCTGGGTAATTACCTAAATGTTGTCTTCAGTGTAAATGTTTTAGTCTCTTTGCCTTTGGAAGAGAGTGCAGATAATCCTTTTTCTTCACTGGCAGTCAACGGTTAATGCTTAGTGCTATGTCTTATTTACTTTATGTATACTTTCCAACTTTTTTTTTCTAGCATTTCTGCTTTTGTTACCCTCAGTAACACTCAGTTGTCAAATTTTGAGAAACCTTACTTCATTCTTTACCATGACTAATGTAAATATCATTTCCCACACTCCCAAACAGTGGCCTAGTTCCTCTCCACAATGCCTGTTCCTATGGCCACTTTGAGGTGACGGAACTTCTCATCAAGCATGGGGCCAATGTGAATGCCATGGACCTGTGGCAGTTCACGCCTCTACACGAAGCTGCCTCAAAGTCACGGGTGGAGGTAAGCCCCTCCTCCCCATGGTTGCCCAAAAGGAATTGAGTTGATTTGCGGTGTGTTTCATACTAAAGTTTTGAGTTATTCAGCTGACAGTGCAAGAAATAAACAGTTATTTTGACAAGCCTCTGTAGATTTTCTGTATTTTCTCCTTTAGGTGTGCTCCCTCCTCCTGGCCCATGGTGCTGATCCTACACTGCTCAATTGCCACTCCAAGTCTGCTATCGATGTTGCCCCCACCAGGGAGCTCCAAGAACGACTCTCTTGTGAGTTCCACCTTTATCTGGACAGAATTCCTTTGTCATATGCTCAAGAAAAGTTCAGATTTATGTATTTGTTTACTTTTCTTTTCTAATATCTTGATTGAATTATTTCAGATGAGTATAAGGGCCACAGTCTGTTGGAAGCGTGTCGCCAGGCTGACTCCACAAGGCTAAAGAAATTACTCTCAGCAGATGTTGTTAACTTTAAGCATCCGTACACAGGAGATACTCCCCTTGTAAGTCCTTGTCTGACCCTTTTATTAGAAGTTTTGTTGACAGATAAGCTTTTTCATATTGACTTGTTTTTTACTGTTAGTACTGTATATATATTTATATATATATGAATTTAAAATAGATACTAAAGTACTGTAAATATGTTTTCGCTTGTAGCGACAACTGCAGTTTTAGCTTATCATGAACCAGTATTATTGCAAACTGCCATTGACATTATGCTGTCATTGCATTTTACAAAACAAAAATAAAAGGTGTTTAGAAAAAAAAATATTAGAAGAGGGGGTATGGGAGGAATCCTTTAAACATTAAGAGTAAACTGCATGGTTGAAACTTAACTGGATTTGAACATCTGAACAGCACTGTGCGGTGAGTTCAAGCAGCGGCAAAAGACGTGGAGTGGTGGAGGCGCTGTTGAGGAAGGGCGCTCCACTTCAGGAGAAGAACAAGGACTTCCTCACTCCACTGCACTTATCTGCTGACAAGGGACATTATGATATAATGGAACTCTTACTCAAACATGGGTCCAAGGTCAACGCACTCGACAGCTTAGGTCAAACCGGTAGGTGGATTTTCTCTTGTCATGTATTTAGCATGAGGAGATCAGTATTTGTAGAGATTGTATGTTTTAATGATATGTAGCTTTTTATGCTGAAAATGTATTGTGACAAATGTTAATATTCTGATAATATTGAATAGAGATTTTACACTTTCAGTACTAGTTCATATTCATTAATCTCTTTTATTATGTATCATGGCTTCTTTGTATTTTCATTTATCACTGATGTGTATTATGCTCTCATACGATTTTCTTATTCCTTTTACTCAGCTCTACATCGAGCTGGTAGAGACGGGGATGTTCAGGCATGTCGTGTATTGCTACAATATGGTGTTGACCCCACAATCATCTCGCTTCAAGGTTACACTGCCACGCAACTTGCAACAGAACCTGTGCAAAGGCTACTCCATGGTAAGGCACTTTGATTGTGGTTTTTATTTTCATCAGAAAAGATACTTAAATATTTGAAATTAGCAACAGTGGCCAAAGTTCATTTAACTTGCCCTGATTTTGAGAATTGATTTGTGATTAGATATTATGCTATGGCCATGGTGAAACTGAACTCCAGACACAAATTATGAAAATATGTCTACCTAAACCTAGCATCCTCACAAATTAATTCTCCACCTCTAAAAGCACTTCAGCCTCTAAAGAGAGACTCTCGCCCTGCAGAAGACCCACCTGGGCCAGGTGTGGACAGTGAGCAGCAGCTTCTCGAGGCCTCAAAGTCTGGCGACATTGAGTGTGTCCGGCGCATCCTCACTGCTCAGCCTTACCTGGTCAATGTGAGAGACCTAGATGGAAGACATTCCACGCCCCTCCACTTTGCTGCAGGCTATAACCGTGTCCCCATTGTGGAGTACTTGTTGCAGCATGGAGCGGATGTTCACGCTAAAGATAAAGGGTGGGTGGAGCATACATGTCAAGGGGGATGTTTGTGTTCATGTGAATGGGTATGTTTGTTTGATTAATTGTTTGAAGGGAGAATATATACTTAAGATAAATATGACAAAAACGGATTACTGATATTTTAGGTACCATATTTCCTAAAGCAAAACTTTGGTTCTCTCGGTAGTGGCTTGGTTCCCCTCCACAACGCTTGTTCTTATGGTCACTATGAGGTTACGGAATTGCTGGTGAGGCACGGAGCCTGTGTCAATGTGGCAGATCTCTGGAAATTTACGCCATTGCATGAAGCTGCTGCCAAGGGAAAATATGACATTGTAAAGCTGTTGTTAAAGGTAAGGAAGTTCTTAGTTTTTTATCTGTATACATTATTTGTTGTTGATGTATACAAGGAAAATATGGCGAGTGTTGATTAGATGAATAGAGATACACAATATCCCATAAAAATACATTATAAATGTAATATACATATTTTTCTAAAATTCATTAAAACATCAAGCCTGGGGGTCCCCAAAGCACTCCTTATAAGCTGTGCAATCGCTACTTATGTAGAGTCAACACAATGTGTCGACACTTAGCTTTGGATGGATTTACATCATCCATTTCTTCTTGAGTCGAGGAAGTAAATTGACAATTATCATTTAACAGCACCTGAGAGTGCACTGGTTCGGCAACATCAGCCTGTTTTAGGAAAATAGATGCGTATTGCTCACATATACTATAGGTCTCATTAGCAGTGCACACAGACTTTCAGATTTTAGTATATGTACACATATCCTGGAATACATATTTTATCACATATTCATATAATTTCCCATTATAGCTTTCTTATTTTTCGTTTCTTCTTAATTTTTTAAACAATGCATTCACAAGATTTATAAAAGGTTTGAAGGTATGATACAGCTCATGAAAAAGATAAATTCTATAACTGTCTAAATTGAACAGTTGATGGCTGTTGAGAGTACATTATAGAAAGGAATTTGGTCTTTCAGTAGAAGTAAGTCTAATACATTTATAGCATATGCACTTGAATCTTACTTTGTGTTGTCTGTAAGATGATAGACACATACATTCACGCACGCGCGCACAAACACGCATACGCACACGCACACATACATGTACATTCACACATGGAGACACATACATTCACATACATACACATGTATTCACACACGCACACATTCACACACACACATGTATATACATTGATCCACACATACACATTCATATACTTATACATTCACACATGCATATGAATGTACATACGCATATTTAAATATACTTGCATACATATAAATACATATACATATATATGTATATATATATATAAACATGTATACAACATACATATATACACAGACATGCATGTATACTACCATACATGTAAACATACATACATAAAAACAAATAAATCATGCTTGTATACATACACACACACACATACACTCAAATGTAGATTCATATACACATATATTTATACACACATGCATGTGTATATAAATCTCATGAAGTGGCAGCCTTTTTTTCCTCATGTTTTCACTCTCAATGGGAGATGGATCAACAGAAAGGAGGAAGAAATTAGGTCTTCATTTAATGATGAATTATCCCATGGAAAGTACAACATCCTTTCTGTCTCCCAAGCAGCATGGGGCCGATGTCAATAGGAAGAATCGCGATGGTCACACGGCCCTAGACTTGGTCAAGGAGAGCGATCAAGACGTAGCTGACCTCCTGCGGGGTGATGCAGCCCTCCTTGATGCAGCCAAGAAGGGCAACCTGGCCAGGGTACAGAAGCTGCTGAACCCAGAGAACATCAACTGCAGGGATTCGCAGGTGAGAATGAGAGGGGCGTTGGGAAGCTGGGGAGGCCTTTTTGGTAAGGGTGGAAAAGGAGTGCAAAAGGGAGAGGGAGTTGTAAAAAAAAAAAAAAAAAAAAAAAAAAAAAAAAAAAAATGACAAAACCTTTTTTTTTTTTGTGTGTGTGTGTGTGTGTGTGAAATTTCCAAATCCCTTCAGTAATCATGGTATCGTGTTTTTATTTCACGTTAAATCATTCAGATACAAAAAGCAATTGGTGTCTGTTTTCAAAAGCTTTATCAAATACACCTCTGTGTCTAAGCCACTTTTTCCACCCCACACAACCACCAGGGACGTAACTCAACACCCCTACACCTAGCTGCAGGCTACAACAATCTTGAAGTTGCGGAATATCTCCTGGAGAACGGGGCAGACGTCAATGCTCAGGACAAGGTGAGTCCTTTTTGACAGTATATGTTTGTTCTTCATAGTGAAATGTAAAGATACAAGGATAAATGCTTTGTGATTCTGAGTTCTAGGTTGGAATTTCAATTATAAGTACCCAGTTATAATAACTGTTGTATAAATTGAGGCAAATGTTTTTTTCTTTGCCATTTATTTCATCCTTACTTGCTGGTTGGTTTGATAAAGATTTTTCTTGCCATTAAACTCTTGTCTTTTCCTCAGGGTGGTCTGATTCCCCTCCATAATGCCTCTTCTTATGGCCACCTGGACATCGCAGCGCTACTCATCCGGTTCCAAACGGCGGTTAATGCCACTGACCGGTGGGGCTTCACCCCCCTCCATGAAGCTGCACAGAAAGGGAGAACTCAGCTGTGTGCCCTCTTGCTGGCCCATGGTGCTGATCCCTATCTCAAGAACCAGGTTAGTCTCTCATTCCATAATGTATTTCCTTCTCTTCCATTTTTCCATCAAATCTCTCTTCCTTTATGTCTTCTAGTTAGATTCTTCTCTTGTTTCATACTTGTTTCTTGTTTATTTTCTCTTTGCTTTTGTTACTGTTCCTTTCATATATTCTCTTGTCTGTTCTGCTTTTCAACCATATACTAATTCACTGGCAATGTGTGATTAGATATCAGAATGTGGCAAATGGCATCTCATACCAGTCAGCCAATCACCTCAAGCTGTGTCATGCCACAGCCAACGGGGATTAGCTGATGGGCGTGAGATGCCAGTCCAGCTTTCTGTCTAAGGTGGTCCAAATGTCTCTGAATATGAGGGTATGTCCCAGTCACCTAGGCAGGGAACTGTGTGCACTAATGAATGTCCAATTGTGTTCCTCTATCTGATGGTAGGTATATCCCTCTAAAAGCAAATTCAGGCCTTGGTGATTTCAAGTTTTGCTTTATCCTAATTTTAGGCATAGGCTTGACTGTGTAATTTTTCACCTTTTTACAAAAGAGCTGATGTAGGCAAAACCAGGAAACCTAAGCTTCCCATTTCACCATGATTTTCTTCCTCATCCAGGAGGGCCAAACTCCACTGCACTTGGCCACTGCGGATGACGTACGAAGCTTGCTGCAGGATGCCATGATGAGCCAGCCAGCCTTGGCACCAGCTGCAGGTGGGGCTGCTCCTCCTCCTGTGTCCCCTGCCTCCCCAAAGCCCCCTGGCACACCCTCCAAGAGTGCCTCGCAGTCGACAGTGTCCCCTGCACCTTCACTCATATCCATCAACAACATTGGAGCCGAGGGTGAGTTGGGTTGCTTAAGTGGTGTCCTTTTCCTCATCATCTTCCTCTCTTTATTTCCATTAATCAGTTCTTGAATATTTTTCTCTCAATCAGACTTATTTTGATGTATGTATTTCTTAGCACAGCTATTAAGATTGATTTCATAAAATCTTGATGACCATGAGATCTAAAAGGCTTCATTCATTTCAGTGGAGACAGTCATGATGCCTTCAGGAGCAAGCTTGACTTTTACCCCAGTCATGTGTTCCTCGCCGGGCATTGGGGATGGTTGTTGCGACCATTCCCGTTGTGAGACCACACCAGATACCACAGTCAACATGAGCATTGCCTCATTTCTTAACAGGTATACTAGCTGTTTGTGCTGTTGTTGTAGGGTACTGTATCAGATGGATTCATTAGAAAATAAGAATTATGAATGGTTGATTGTGAGGACTGCAAGCTCCAGAAATGGACATTGGGTACAAAGCCTTTGAATATGGGAATGCCAGGTGTATATAGGGTGGCCTGTACTTCAGCATGAAAGAGGAAAATTTCTGCCAATATCTTTTGCTGAACTTTGATATACATTGGATCTCTCCTTTCAAACAGTCTCGGTCTGGAGCACCTGAGAGATATCTTTGAGAGGGAAGACATCACACTAGATATCCTAGCAGAGATGGGACACGAGGAGCTGAAGACCATCGGCATCAATGCATATGGCCACCGTCACAAGCTACTAAAGGGCATCGAGAAACTTCTTAGTCAACACAGTAAGCAGTCTGTTATGTTGGAGGAAAGAAGGATTTTTAAAATTATTATTATTGATGTTCATTAGTTTCTCCTGGGTGTTACTGCCTTTTGTTTGAGTGACTGATATTACTGAAAACGGGCATAGACATATTTTTTATTTTTTTATTTTTTACAGTAGCCTGAAGTATTCTGTTCATTATTAGATATCTGAGATCTTTTTTGTGTCAAGTAACCACACTGAGCAGGAGTCCCCTATTGCCTTCCAGATGGATTACTAGGCAGCGCTTGCAGTAGCAGCGGTGGTGCGAATGGTTCATCACAGGGCACACTGCTGGTCGATCTCTGCCGGGAGGATCGTGAGTTCATAGCAGTGGATGAGGAGATGCAGGCGACTATCCGAGAGCACCGGGACAATGGCCATGCAGGAGGGGTCTTTTCCAAGTACAATGTTGTCAAGGTTGGTGGAAGGACATTTGTGCTTTTGTGCTGATGGGTTCATATTTTCTGGCCTTTGTATCAAGGGTTTGTTAGACTTTGTTGTAGGAAATGTAAAAAAGTCAATATCAGAAGTATGAAGAACAGTAGAAAATCATTACGTATCTTCACATTTTCAGGTGTACATATACTATAAACACAGTTTTCCAAATATGTTGCTGAATTTGCAAACATAACCTAAATATAACCTTCATTTAGTAGTGTAATGTTCAGTGGTCAAAGCAATATTTACATTTATGTGATGATGATAGACTTATTTAACTTGTTTCCTTTTCAGATCCAGAAAATACGGAATAAACGCTTATGGGAGCGTTATGCACATAGGCGGAGAGAAGTTGCTGAAGACAACAGTGGTCAGTCCAACGAGAGAATGCTTTTCCATGGATCTCCCTTTATCTCTGCCATTGTGCAGAAAGGCTTTGATGAGAGACATGCTTACATTGGTGGCATGTTTGGAGCAGGTAATGCTTTGTTGATGCTTATGTTGTGCTTATGACATTTGATACTGTCTCTTGATTTTTGTCCCAAAGAAAAAGTCAACAAGATGCTGTTTTTTGTGTTTTACATAGAACCAATTTATTGCAGGCAGAAAAATATCTGATGTCTATTTTTTATTATTTATTATAGGTATTTACTTTGCTGAGCATTCCTCTAAGAGCAATCAGTATGTATATGGCATTGGTGGAGGCACTGGCTGCCCAGTACACAAGGACCGTTCCTGTTATTCATGTTATAGGTGAGTATAGTTATTTTCGCAAGTGTTATTGTTACCGGTAATAATAAATTCATCATATCACAAAGTAAATTATTAGTTTGTAGATTACTATTGTAAAGGAAATGTGATGACCATAAAATATTTTGTCCAAACGCACCGAATCTCCCCACAGTGAGAATCATTTTGAATCCCAAGCAGCAGTGATCAGTAAGAGATTAATTGCTCCAGTACCAATCAATTACAGTGACACTCACAATCCCCTCTCTCCATCAGGCAACTACTACTGTGTCGAGTTACGCTTGGTAAGTCATTCCTGCAGTTCTCAGCGATGAAGATGGCCCATGCTCCTCCTGGACATCACTCTGTCGTTGGAAGGCCCAGTGCCGGTGGGCTCTGCTACCCTGAATATGTGGTGTACAGAGGGGAACAGGTAGGGACATCTTGAGAATACTGTACTGTACTGTGAGAGAGAAGTGTGCTTGGGATTTTGCATATGTCTGATTTTTTTTTTATCATGTAAATTCTACACAGTATTTTATTGGATGTTACTTTTGATTGAATTGCAATATGCATTTTGGGTGTTAAGCATTGCTCAATCTGGAGAGCAAATCTACTGTACATTTTTTGTAATATGCAAAGGTGAAGAAGAAGAAACTTCCAGGGCATAGGTTTTTCGGTATTATTCATTTCTCAGTGGCATTTTGGAATCATAGTTTCTATCAACAATGTCAAGACCACACATGAACCATTAATTTCTAGATTGTCAATTGAAAACATTTCTAAATAATGGCTAATATTAATGACATGTAAATGCATAGACCCATTTTAACTCACTCACAACTGGTGTCCCATATATGAGACACTTGGAAAAGTAAACATTGCCAGGTGTCCTGCGGGTGAGACACCAGATTGAAGCTCACACTCTGATTTTGTCACCCGTGGCGGGCAGCGCGGGCAGGTTGCTGGACTCGCCCACACGTCAGTTTTGAAGCCGGCTGGAAAATATTTTTTTCGGCTTATAAATGTACTGTCGCTAATGGGTTAAGGGTGGAATAACATCTTTCTGCTCCTCATTTCCCCTCTTTCTCTCTCTCTCCTGCAGGCATACCCTGAGTACCTCATCACGTACCAGATTGTCAAGCCAGAGGAGGCCGGACCGAAAGAGGACGGTGCCCGGGACAACGACTGACCAGACTCTCCCAGTTTTAACGTGTCGGGGATTCATCAGCATCCTCCTCGTCTTCCTCCTCTTCCTCCCGCTTCTTCAGCATAGGGAAGACATTATTGTTCTCTTAGGAGTGGGTGGGGTAGGGGAGAGGGGGAGGAAGGGAGGGGAACCTGAGAAAGAACTCGGAATATTGTCTGTTGTGTTGATTGATTGTCAGAGGAAGTGAGAAACAGACAATTTTGCAAGAGAGAGGGACTTGAATTGTCATTTTCTGGTTTCTTTTTTCTTTTTATCTGTTTTTATTTTTTCTCTTTTTTTTTCTTATCTTTTTTATATGCATATTTGTGTTATTTCATATTTGTTTCCCCTCTGTCTGCTTTTGAAACTGGTTGTGAAGAGACTATTTTTTTCATTTTAATCTGCAGCAAAGAAGGGAGGAGCTCCGTATAAGTACCTCGCATGTAGCTGCACTATTGGGAGTGAAAAAACGGGGAATAAAGAAATTGCAAATAAATTATAATGAAAGGGAGAAAACTATGGTAAAAGAATTTTATGTATGTATCTAATAATGCACCTCTGACTGCTTTAAGAAAGATATTTCAAGAAAGAGAAGCTTCGAAAGTGGGATGGGGAACACTCTAAAATGCCCCCCTCCCCACGTTCCTGTAAGTGGGAGCACAATCACGTATTCTTTAGTCATTCCAAGCAGGAAAAAATACAAAGTCAAAAACTGAATTAAAAAAAAAAGAAAATATAAAAAATTGCATGTGTGCGAAATGCAGAGTGAGTGAAAGAGAGAATTAAAGATTTATGTTTGTGATCTGTATTACTGATTTGAAGTTTATCTCAGTGGACAAAGAGAAAAGTTCGCATGATTTGTCAACATGCCAAGAAGGATTTTACTAAATCATTAGCATTTCATTATTGTTATAATCATGATTGTTTATTTATGAATATTTTATTTAGCCATTTATGGTGTCCATTTAATTTTTATATTCCCTCCCCGATAGAAAGAGTGTAAAGTCTCCTCTTGGTTCTGAGCAGGTGAAGCTGTCGCCATCAGCGAGGAAGAAAATTTGTGTTCATGGGCCTACGCGGGATAGTTTGATTCCGCCAAGGCTGGTCGTGTTCTTAAGGGGATGATTGTAGAGGGGCCCAAAGCTGGTAACTTTGGGCAACACAATTCAGGAGTTGATACGCATATTTTTATACTCCCATTTCAATTTTTATAGAAATGTGAACTGTAGGATTTGCATATTACTTTCTAACATGTGTACTCACAAGGCAGTGTTTGAGGTGTGATGTTCAGGTAGAACTGTTAGGTAAATTTTTGTTTGTTTGTTTTTAAAAGAAAAAAAGTCTTTCATTTGTCTTTACTTGAAAATTACATTGCAGGAAATTATGTAAACATTTCAAGGAAGATATTACAGAGGCAGTTATGTTTATATTGAGTGTGTTTGTGTGCGTGTGTGTATAGAAAAGCGACTGCTTTGCATGTGTGTCGGCAATTTGCCATACACACACAAAGCATTTGCACGTCTTGCAAGGCTGCTTTGGAACAGGGGAACCGGACTGTACTTTCGGTCCTTTTAGGAGATGGCTTTAAGAGGATATCCTTGTGTCTGTGTTTTTCCTTTGTCATTTGGTTTGTGTCTTGATGCGAAAGTAGCATTTAGTGTGTATATATATCGGAGGGAGAGATGTAATATTTCTTATATAAAGTTGCCAGGAACAGATAGTATTGGGCATTGTTTTTTTTTTTTTTTCATTTCTTTCTTAGTGTTTTATTATTATGTTAATTTAAGGGGGATTTATATATTTAAATAAATATATAATATATATATATAATGTAGACAGTTGCCTGAAAATCTTGCGGGTGCTCCTGTTTTTAATTTTTTTAACACCTCACGCAGAATAGATGTACATTTTCATTGTCATTGCATCACATTATCATCATCACTGTGATCTTGGTCAAGTTGTTCGGTAGTAGCTTAATAACCATTGTTATTACCATGATTATCTTTTGATTTCCTTTTCTCACATGGCATNATATATATATATATATGTAGACAGTTGCCTGAAAATCTTGCGGGTGCTCCTGTTTTTAATTTTTTTAACACCTCACGCAGAATAGATGTACATTTTCATTGTCATTGCATCACATTATCATCATCACTGTGATCTTGGTCAAGTTGTTCGGTAGTAGCTTAATAACCATTGTTATTACCATGATTATCTTTTGATTTCCTTTTCTCACATGGCATTGCTGATACATATCCTAGAAGCTGCGTTCAATTGGCATCACGTCCGTTCAGAGAGGACGGATTGTGAGAGAATTGTGCAGCAGGTTGAAGTCAATATTGTGAATGAATTGTTGATTAAATGAAAATAAATATTCAGTTAATACACTTATTATTAGCTCACACAGCTTGGAAGTTGCTTCATATTTTTGGAATTTCTCTTGGTCTAGATTTTCAGTCTTTCAAAACAGGAATATGTGGGTGTGATAACTGACCCAGTCCAATCTTGTCTTTCATTGTGATTAATGATATTTATATAACTAAAAAGTTTTTTTTTTTCTTAAGCTAGGGGAACAGTAGGAAGTCTGGATGGTTCAAAGGCTCCCTTGTTATTTGTTTATATGATATGTGAATGCCAACTGATTCTAATGTATGGATTATAAATGATTCCTGTAGATTCTTTCCCTCTTCTTCAGTCTCCCTTTCTCGCCACTTAACGTCCTACTCCCTTGCCACTCCACTTTTTATGTTTACTCCGTCTTGCCCATCTATTTTCTATTACCACATATATAAATAAATTATGAGTATACAGGCATAAATGCAAACAGACACTGATGCGAAACTACACATTTGAGGGTTAGAGGATGTAAGATATAGTCCATAAACAGGAGATTCACCACTCCTTTCATGTATGAAACGGTTAACCAGAAGGTATAGATCTTTTGTTATATTAGTCGCGTGAAGATACTGTGTAACTGCATTTGTATGGCATCGTCTTCCAAGGAATGGTAAAGAAGCTTGGAAAGATGAAAAGGATTTTTTTTATTTTGTGTTTTGTTTTTTGTCTGTAGTGAACGGAAACCCGTCATCTTGAGGGGGAATGAATCTCAATCCTAGTAGTTGTGTTCAGTAGACTGTGTTGGAAAGTCGATGTGAGTTGAGAGAGTGAAATAGAGCTAGTGTTGTGTCTTCTGCCAACCCTGCAGAGGCACTGGCACCGAGGAGGAGAGGATATGAACTCCAGAAGGTGGCACAAGGTGGACATGAGTTCTCTGGCATAAGAAAAGAATGGCATGTGCTGCACCGTTTGAAAAAGTGAAGCTGAATGTTGATATGTTTGTTTGAAAAAAAAAATATGTTGAATAGGCTGGAAAATATATAATATGAACAGATTCTGGACATCACGCTTGCTCCATGTGTACATACGAAGCTGAAATAGTGGCCATCGATACTCATGGGAGAGAGATGTCAGAGCCAAGTTCTGGACTGCGGGCAAGGGCAGGCAGCTCCCATGCCTCGTGACAGCTCATGACAAAGCTCTTGTGCCACCCCAGACCTTGTTATTTTGTATCTCTTGGGTTTTATCTTTCGTTTTTTTTATTTCCATATTCTTGGTGAGCTTGAATTCTGTTGAATTTGTACAAATCCATGTAAATAAATATGACATGCTTTTTACATTATGGTGTAAATATTATCTGAAAATAAATTTGTGAAATATTTGTTGTTGTTTTAGACATCCCTCATAGATGGTTTAAAACGTTTTAAGAAATAATCATAATTGCATGATTAATCCATAAACGACTGCATATGAGAGAGAGATAGAGCGCACACGTGTTCGCACCACAGACAGACAACCACACACACACAACACACACACACACACACACACACACACACACACACACACACACCACACACACACAACACACACACACACAACACACACACACGAAACCCTCTCAATACCTTGCTCGTCGTTGCCGTGTGGGGGTGGGGGGTAGAAGACGGAAACGAGCCAATGTAGTGGAGTCCCCCGAACATCAACCCACGTCTCACCTGATTGCTTTTTGGTCTTTTCTTCTTTCCTCTTCCGTATCTTCTTCATCCTCTTTTGACCCATTCTAAGGTGTGGTGAAAGTATGAAAGGCTGGCTTTATGTCCGTCATGAACGGCCTTCGGGAGCCATGGGCAATCCCTTGGTAAATTACCTATCTCATACCTCTAAGGGGTAGATCGTTTCTTTTCCCTATTTTATCTAAACTCACCATGGCTAATAATGAAGATTCTTTGTCCTTAATAGGGGCATTAAGGCTTACCACTCTCTCAGCTAGCCTATCTGATTCCGATTTAATGGTACTACTCCTTTGGCCACGGCTCCAACCACAGGCACTAATACCAACTCGGTGTTTATTGACAACTGTCCATTCTGAACTACACATCCGGGTTATTATTCAGCGTATTCTATAGGAGCTGCCCTGCCTGTAAGCTCGAGTGTGAGGTAGTTGTCCTCAGATTCAAACTAGACCTCAGTCTACTTGAGGCTAGACAGGAAGCACGATGACGAGGTTTTTCTCCTCTACTATTCCAAAATAGTCCTTCGCTCTGCAACCCCCCCCTCCATCTCGCCAAGATGTTTCTGCATCTCCTCCAGTATCTCTTCCCTCTACCCTGAACCATCCTATCTCTACTCTCCCTATCCACCAGTTAAATCCCTTTTCCATTCCAAATCCAGATACTCCAATCTCTACCACTTCAACCGATACCTAACCCTTCCCCCCCCCTCACTTTACGCGTCGCAGCAGATAACCTGAACGGTCTACTCCATCTCCGCCCTTCCACGCCCTCTCCTACACCCTCTTTTCCTCTGCTCCTCGAACATCTATCCCCTCTTCTCCTCCTCACAAAGAGATCCTTTGTATCTGAGACCTTCCGATCCAAATCCTACTCAGAAATTCTTGAAGACATCTAAAAATTCCTAGGCATGACACACGAAAATGTTCCGCTCTCTCATCCACCCTCCAACCTCTCTATTCCTAGTCCCTCTACATTCAAAGTATTTGCCGATATCCATCCACTAAAAGGAGTAATATAGAAGTGGGAATATTTACATCCAACCCTAACCGTAATAACTCCATTCCTCATTCTTCCGCCTTCGAAAGTCCCGGATTTTCCTATTTGATTTTGTAGTCTAACCTAGATGACACCCATCCACGCTAGGGGGAACTAACAAACGCTTATTACGTCGGAGAAAGAGAGACAGACAGACAGACAGATATAGAGAAGAGAGGAAAGAGAGACAGAGAAGAGAGGAAAGAGAGACAGAGAAGAGAGGAAAGAGAGACAGAGAAGAGAGGAAAGAAAGACAGAGAAGAGAGATACATACGTATATATCTTGATTTCGCATTTTCCAGATCGAGCAGTTCCCGGGCCACCATGGGCAAGGTCTGTTTGTGGGTTGGACTTCGTTATAAATTTATTCTCCTAATTCACATCATCTAACTTGCATCCTCTTGACTTGGAGTTGTCGAGTATTTACAGTTGTTAATATAAGGTGTAAACATATATCATGACAGATGTTTTTCCCAAATAATTCTTTCTTGTGGGTAGAAAATTTTGCCAAATCATGTAATTCCGTACTTTTCGATATCTGTCCATCAAAATGTCGTTTGAGCGGAATGGCTTGTATCTTTTTCGGCTCATGTCATAAAAAAAGTTTTGTTCTTTCAT